AAATAATATTTTTTAAACTATATATACAACTATATAATCTAACAAATATAGATATAAATCGTAATCTTGATATCTTAAAAACTTATTTATTTATTATTAACATCTTATTCAAACATATACAAGTATGTCGTGATACTGGTACACTATCTGATAGCAGGCTTTATAGAAATCTATATTATTAAATATATATTATTTGGTACAGTTAAGATATGATTAAAATGCATTGTATAAATTGCACAGTTTTATTTTATTTCAACATAAAACATGCACACTGTATTCTAAAATATATACATATTTTTTAATTGATAATGTAACTACTTATATATAGTGATTACCTAATGATGATCCTCTTTATAAAAACGTAAACCGCAATAACCACAGCTATGGTTGCCTGGTTTATCCTAGAAAAAGAATAAAACAAATATGATTTTTTTTTTAAATAGATTCAATATGTTATTTATTATATTTGTATAGTACTATTTATAAATTAAATCTTTTCAACAATGAATATTGACTAACATATGCTTGAATATAAATAGTCTATGTGTATATTGACATATATTTTACCAGATTTATATACACTTTAGGATGTCCAAGTGGGCCTCCACCACCATCGCAAGCTACTATTCTTTCTTTTTTAGGAGATGGTGGCACTTCATTTATCAATTTAATCGCCCAATTTTCATTAACTTCTTTTGGCCTGTCCACGAATCTTACCAATCGATAGTCATCTTTTTCGAATACCTGATAAAATCGATATAATTTTGATTTAAGAAAAAAAAAAAAAAATTATTGAAAGGGTTAAACCCTTTTTCTTCAAATAATGAGCGTGAATAAAGGATAGCTCACCTGACCAGTGTGAGTTACTTGAGTGTCACCTTCGTTCACAGTTGCATACATACGTTGCGTTATCGTATTTAATGCGGACGTATTTTTTCTGTACAATTTGCTAAAAGGGGTACATAACTCCCTCACTCTTTTGGTCGCCATACTTGACGATTGTTGACGATTGATCTTCCATAGATATAGGCCTAGTTTACACCGATATACTTTAATACGTACTAAGTACTATACTGGCCAATCATAGCCTTTCCTCTAAAGAATGGAATGGCTATGATTGGCCAGTGTAGTACTTAATATGTATTAAAGTATATATCGGTGTAAACTAGGTCAAAGTCATAGATGTGAAACTAAAGCTGCATTTGCTTTGATGCTGTACATACATACCATAAGTACTGAAAGTATTTGATCAACTAATCGAGGCAAAGATTTCTTTATCCTGATTGGTGAATTAATTGCTTGCAGCACTTGTAGTTTCATACAAACGCAGCCTAAATTTGCAATGAGAAGGGATAATAGCAAATCTTACTAACTTCGATGTGCTTCGGACAATTCCGTCAACATGGTTCTACACACGAAGTTTATTCAACTACAAATGTGTAGAACATGTTACCCACACAAGCGCAAGTATATGCAAATCGAAATCAGTAACGTTTCCATTCATTTCCCTTATGACTAACAATAAATTCTTGACCTTCCCCTCCCTCTTCTCTTACTTTTAACATACAGGGTGTCTATAAAATCTGTCCCTACCCCCTATATTTTTGCCTTTTCAAACGATATACTATAATATATATGGGGGGTTCTATTTGAAATTTTTGAGTTGGGGCACCCTCTTGGGGAGACAAGTCCTCCAACCCTTAAAAAAGTAGCCTTTTGAAATGATCGAACATGTATTTCGCGGTTTTTCATAATTTTGAGCCATTTCCGAAATATAGGGGGTAGGAACAGACTTTATATACACCCTGTATAGTCAGTGTGTTATATATTAATGTCTTTTACATATTTATGCGTAAAATTTTTTTATTAATATTATATATATGTGTGTGTGTGTGTGTATAATTTAATATAATCCTTTCTTTTTTCTTGTGTTTTTTTTAATCTATGGTTTTTAATACTGATAATTTTTACTTGTAGAACAAATATTTGTCTGATTCAATTGCGTTTCGTTACATTACAAAGAAAAAAAAAGCATCTTTGGGGATTTATACTTAAAAATGCAATATGTCGAACCATAAACAAGATTTCGCATGCGATATTAGACCTTTATTCCCTTTTCGCATATACACACGTAAAAAAAATAAAAAAGAATTATCGCATTAAATGTGAATACCAAGTTTTTATCAGATATCCTATATGTAAAAATTTTCACAGAGAACGAAACACACACACACATAATTTGGGCTCGCTGTACGAAAATGATATTGGGTCATAAAAGAGCGATTTAGGGCGCGATTACGCACGGAAATCTCAATAAAGATATCGATTTTCTCTCTCTCTTTTTCTGTCTTGACGTATCAATGTGGGATAAGTAGATAAATAGCTGTTCTTCTCAGTGCCGGATTTAAGTTCACGCAATTCCGAGTTGTATACATATCTATATAGTAAATTATTTAAAAAAATTAGCAATTATATCTAAGTCAAAAAGATTTTTTTCCCTCCACTTCAACGAGAAGAGAGAATAGTAAATATAAAAAATATCTAAAATTTAAAATTATTAAAATTGTTTTTTATTTACTAACAAGATCTTGGATTTATCGAAAATAATCGATTGTTGATTATTAACAATATTAGCTAAAATCATATAAAAAAAATTATCACACTTTGATCGCTAATAATCATTTTACACTTTTTATTCACAGAATTTTTTTAAAGATAATACCTAAAGAAAGCTTGTCATGTAAAAAAAGTTGGACTATATATTTTTTATATGTAAATTTTGGGCCTGAGAATGCTTCTTTATCATTTCGATCTTCGCTGATTATACTTTTTGCGCGTAAGAGAGTTGGTAGGAAAACTTTCCGAATCGTACTCTTCACTCCACAATTCAAGGTCGCTCGATGATCCCTCGTCATCGCTCGTATACGAACGCAGGCGCACAGAAACGCTCTTCTAGGGGTGAGTCTACAAGGTGAAAGAGAGTATACGTATATGTATTAGCTGTGGATAGTCGCGAATGTGACGAATTGCTTTCCGAAGCTACTGACGCGATGTCTCTGTTGTGATTTATTGGAGGGTCAAGGAATAGCCCTTGCTCGCTAGCCTCTCATTCCAGTTGAACAGGAGAATAATGTAACGTCGCAAGAACGGGGTGAGTGTTGACGTACATTTATCTCGCTCTACCGTATGTCAGACTGATGATCTCTGCGTCTCTTGCGTTACATTTCCATTGTAAAGCGTTCGTGTGCTTCATTCTTACAATGACAACCTCGTCTGAATTAAGAAATTAAATATTAATAACTTAAATAATTAGATTTTTTTTATAAATTATAGTTTTATATTAAAACAGGACGTACACACTCAAAGAGAAAGATGTGTTAATGAAAGATGTTTATATATAAAATATATAAAGCAAACTACGGTTTCAAGGCTTCAAGTTGATAATATCGTTGCGATTAATTCTCGAGATCAATTGCGGCGAGATCGAACGACAGCTGTTTGACAGCCGCAATATATCGCTCGTTGACAGAAGATTTAAACGTAACGATGTGGATATAGATTCGCAATTAAGATGGATGTTCACGGTGCCGGAGTAGTCGCCGTTCTGGGCACAGTTGGAGCTGCTACCGGGGCGATCTCGGCAGTGATTGTCTACACCATTTGTGCGCGTCGCCGACGATTGCCGCTGCTTACTTCGGTCGGAGGACCACTTAACTGGCATGTATCTTTGTATTTTTTGGATGTGCGTTCATTCACTATGTTCGGATAAGACGCTAATTATCTTAAATTGTTTTGAAACATCACACGATAATGTTTGCTCTCGGTAAAATCTAAAAAATACAATTTATTGCATATAATTTTTAAAGATATAAATAAGGGTATAAAGGAATAAATAATGTAATAATGTAATTCTTTTATAGGTTTGAAAAGGATTTGCTGGATAGAGCCGAGGAGGCAGCCAGATCATCAAAGGATGTTTTGGTTGGTGTTGCGCTTTCGCGGGATAATAAAATCATCAGGCGTAGTGACAGTCACTCTGATGACGACGAATGGCAGTCCGATCATGTATTTGACAGCATTGCCAGCGATTCTCCTAGAAGAGGTCGGTGCACTGATGTCTTGCCTATTAAGAACAGAGAGATTAGATCGTCGAAGAAACAAACCGTGATGCTACTATTAAGAGAAATGAACTACTTTCCTCAAAAAAAAATTGAAGTAAACTTTGATAAAAGAATCGCGTCAGTTTAGCACGACATATAATGTAATGTTTAATCTCATCAAACAACATATAGTTAACAAAACTATTCTGTATTTTTGAAACTTTTAACATATAGCACATATAACGGTACTAAAAAAAGTTATAACAAAAATATGAATAAATAATAATATAGAAACGAATAGATAATGCATGGAACGGCATGGTATATATATTCTTGGAATATTTTGTTTAAAATCAAAACATTGGATCAACTGAAAAGAAGTACGTGGCGCTGTCATATTTCCTTATCCGTTACATATATATTCTTATCCGGATCTTTTTATAGTTATGCAGCATCTTTCGGAATCGGATGATATCCCTCCGTCTCCGATGAGTCCGCTCGCGCCACCTCTTCCGGAAGGTACAGTGGTCGCATCCGAGAAGCGCATGGTGATAGTTAGGCCGCCGCCGCGAAGTATAGACGGATCTCAATCACGATTAAATAGTGTCGAAATCATCGAGTCGACTCGACGACACAAGGTATATATATCGTATAATTTTATATTATATTTAATTTTACTATTATCCACATACACACGTTAATAACTAGCGCATCTATCATATAATTATATTTCTATATGTATCTATAGCTCTCCTCATCTTCTTCGACCTCATCGTCCGATGAAATCAAAGGTGAATTAAAATTGGGATTGATTTATGACGCTTCCGCTGGAATACTTACTGTGAGACTTATCGAGGTAATATTTCTGTCTTTCACGTGTATGATGTATTTACCATCTCGCCAAATATATAAATTGGAATAATTATTTTCTTCTTTAAAGGCGCACGATCTTCGTGCCCGGGAATTGAGCGGAATTGCGGATCCTTACGCTAAGATACGTTTGCTGCCTGACCGAAATAACGTATGGCAAACGACGATACACAGGCGTACTCTGAATCCCGGTAAATATTTTCTCATTATTTTCATAAAATTATCATGAAAGAGAAGAAAACTTATTCAAGAAAGATATTATAAAAAGATACCTTTATGTCTGATTCCGTCATCTAGTATTCGACGAGGATTTTGTCTTCGAAGTAACGCCTGCATCATCATTGGCCGGAAGGACATTAGAAATCTTGCTCTATGATTTCGATGCGTTTACGCGACACCGAGGTTTGGGTTATGTGCAACTTCCCCTATGCTGCATGCCGGATCTCGATACAAATTTGATGATCATCACGAAACCAGTTCTACGATACGGGGCGGAGGGCGGTTTTAAAGCACCACCTCTAGGAGAACTAATGGTTTCTATCTCGTATCAGCTGTCTCTAGAGAAACTATCAATTATTGTTGTCAGGGCGAGAAATTTACCCATTCTCGACGATCCCTCGAACGCAAATTCGTATGTGAAGGTACGTAATATACATATGGATGAGCTTTCCTTGAATCTTTTTACTCTCGTTGCTAATTGCTCTGCATCGTGTTTAGGTATCACTCATTCAAGATGGTAAGAGTCTTAAGAAGAAAAAATCAGGTATACAGCGTGAGACTACCAGTCCCGTATGGAATGATATCCTTAGCTTTGACATCAGTAGCGATGTGTTATCGAAGTGTGTCTTACAATTCTCTGTGTTGCGAGCCAACGGTGATCTCCTAGCTAAATGTGAAGTATCCAGCTCGTGTCAAAGAGAATTGTTTCAGCGCGTTTTATCCGGCAAAGGCGCGTCAGCGCAATGGTTACCATTGTCAGAACCAGCGCAGCACAGTGATAACGGCGAATTGAAAGATTAAGAAGAAAGTCGTTGTTAAAATATAATTAAAATATATGAAAATGCATCGTATCGTATAATTGTTTTGAAACGTACAATGAAACGCTTCTGCGAAAGATTAAGAGTTCCATCTCTTCCATTCTCGAATTGGATAAACAAAACGGTTTGATATTAGACAAGAGAGTGAGCCGACTCCAAATATATTATCTTCTTCAGAAAACGATGCAAATTGACGCGCTGGCGCCGTATAACTAGTTATAACTTGTAGTATTATTACAACATAATATTCTCAGTTCTAAACTTTTCTGATAATTATATTTTCGGAATACATATATTTTTTGCATTGACGTACCCTAAAAACATTGTAGGTTTCACAACATGGCTTCCGATTGTATATAACGATTATTTTTATTGATGTTTATAGTATATTATTAGCAAATTGGCAAAGTCTGTCAAATGCGACAAGCAAAATCATACTATTGCGTATTATATATTATTTACTTTTGCTTACGCTGAATCTTATGCATATTATATTTATGATCGATTGTTAAGCTGAAATATTATAATCTTACCACCGATAATAATCGGATGAATTCGCATATCAAACGATATTCAATACGTTTTGCACGCTTGACTATACTGTGTGCATATTTTATATATATATATATATATTTTTTTTTTATCGTGCTTGAAGAAAACTATAATAGATTTGATGTACATCTAGATTCTTATGTACATCAAAAATTTTACGATGACCATTTCCGTTCCATATACACCAACTGATTAACGATAAAACGACGGGATGTTATTCATCAATCGTTTTATGTAGCATAAAAGCACAAGCATGTAATCGAGTTAAATTATTATATGATAAATTGTAATAATCGCACAAATTGATTCTATGCCATATAGCGATACATATAAAGTTGTTTTCATTTTGTTACACGAGACAGATTATTATATAAAAAAGAAAAGAAGATGAATCCACCAATGAAAGCAGGTTCTTCCATTGGTCGAATAATTGTTATCAAGATTCCTGTTTCCTTATCGCAACCATATCGAATTTTAAGATGTTAGAAACGAGAATCTCATGTAAAATTCTTTTCTTGCAAAATACATTGAAATAAATCAATTTTCTCACACACTATTTGCATTTGATAGAATGGATTTGTAAAATATATTAAAAACTCCCTCTTTTATCTGACATTAGTAAATGTACATAATTCTATCTGCATATGTCTTATATTTTCAGCAAAAATAAACTTTATGAATTACAAGATTTAGAGCTATTTATTAATTCAAGAAGCAAAAGAAGAGAAGTACTTAATATATTTTACCAATCTATATTATCGAACGCGAATAATGATAAAAAAAAAGCTTATTTCGACAAGAATATTATAAGAAAATAATTCATGTTTTCTTATTTCTGATATTATAATCCAATATGATTGCAATGCAGAAAAACTAGGCTTAAACATCGCAAAGTGAGATTCATTGAAATATTGTCAAAGAGGACACCAAAGACAAAATATATAATAAAATGATTAAAATTGTAGTTCACTCATTGATAGCATACACATTATAGAAAACGGAGACATTTGGATGTGAATGTGTGCATAGCAGAACAGATAGAAAATAATATATTTTCATCCTATATATGGTTTGTCAAATATGTTCTGTGCATATTTCATTCAGCGCATTCAGCAGACTCAACAGTTGGGTAGCAATCGAACGTGATTGATTCTTACTTATAGAACCAACAAATCAATGTCGAATGTTGACAAGATGCTCAACTGTTGAGTCCGCTGAATGCGCCCATAGATATTCATATATATATACATGAAGAGAGAAAGAGAAAAAAAGAGAGAGAGCGAGCGAGAGAGCGCGAGCATATAATGAAGCAATTATTTTTTAAAAATTGAAGAAAAAGAAATATATATCCTGATTGTTTGTGATCGCTTTTCTATGGTAAAAAAGAAAGTATATACCTCTTATCAAATTGTGTTTCATCGTTTATTGTACAATGTAACTGTACATATATAAAAAGTATGGACCAACGCGATCCTTCAGCTTAGTCGAATAAACCTGTAACCAAAAAATATCGCAGTTAAAATAGAAATTAATTACATTTCGTTGATTAGGACAATTTAATTCATCTTATTCTCATTTTGAAATATTGTCGTCATATGTATATTCCGTAGCTAATACATGCTATATTAATCATTGAATGTCCTTTGTGTCTGTATATCTTCTTTGTCATTATCTTTATAACATTAAATATTATAAATTTGATATTATTTACCAAAGCCCATGTCATCGTCTGACTCTTCTTCTGGTTCCTCCTTCTTCTTCTCCTCTTTGGCTGGAGCAGTTTCAGCGCTGGCAGGTGCTGCGGCGGCAGGAGCTTTAAAAGTTCAAAACACAATTATTATTTTTTATACAATATTATTGTGATAACACTTAAAAAGGTATACAGCAAAAATCTCATAAGACAGCTGATTAAATTAAAAATTACAATTTTTATATAATGTTACTAACAAAAACTTGAAGATTATATCTCTATGGATAAAATCGAAGAGTTTTTGTTTTTATTTTCTTTCTCCTCTTTTGCTGACCGAGCTAGCTACTTGAATAGTCTAGATCAGTGGATGAAGAGGATAAAAAGTTTACAATTTTTTTTAATCAGCTTAAATAACATTTTTTCAAATCTATTTTATATAACTGCAATTATCATGCGATTCAAAATATATCTAAATATTTACTTAATTTTGCTACACTTTGTAGATAAGTTATAAAAGAAGGATAATTAAGATTTATACAACATTGTTGTGAATAACTTGCTATTGAAAAAAAGAAAAAGTATGTATACCTGCTCCTGCAGGTGCAGCTCCGACACCGGATCCAATATTGGTGATCAGTTCCTTAACATTTATGCCCTCTAAAGCCTTAGCAAAAAGTCCAGGCCAGTAAGAATCAACGTTTACATTTGCCGCCTTCAGAATTGTTTGTATTTTCTCGCCCTATAGAAAAAAAATATAATAATTCAGAAATGCAATATATTTACATCCCTATTTTTCATCGAACATTTGTCGCATAGATTTTATTCACAATAGAAGCTGTAGCAGACAACAGGAAACTTTATCTTTAATAACCACATAATAAATATCATGCCAATTAAATTGATTTGTTCAAGCTTATTCATCAATCTTTATTAACACAATATTTCTTTAATATTAACTATACAAATAAATACTACAATAGCAAATAATATGTATTAGTTGTTAGATAAACAAAATCATACTCTTTTGTTATAAACATTGAGGAATTAACTGCGTTTTGTACATATATATTCTCGCTAAAATATATTAAAGTATAACTATATACTATATTATATAGACTATATAATAGAATATACCATGCTATATCTGGGATTTGAGAGAGAGGTTAACGATGTAATTTTGAATAGAAAAACTTTAATAAAAACACACATACAAAAATGTAGGTGATGCAAATGCAATATTTAACGAATAAATATCATGAATGCGATGCAACCACTGGTTAAATCATTGGTGAAATCGGTAAAAATAATGAAATCGTGGTATGAACCCACGTGAAATCATACTTACAGTTACGGCGATATCGTCGTCGACGAGTATCAAAGCGGAGTAAACGCAAGCAAGCTCGGCTTCGGTCGTCATTTTTAGCGTTTAAATTTTGTCTCTGAGAATCAGATGGAACTGTAAAATTGGTGCAAGTTGTCGATACGACCTTAGCTCCACGAGAGAGAACAAGCAACCAAGTTCCCGGATTCAAGCGGAAGAGACGGGGGAAAGAAGGCTGAAAGAAACCTTCTACAACGGATGTCACGTGATATAATGGCTGCGTTCCAACATTGGCCAATTGGCCGCGTTCAGCAGAGAAAGCGCTCAGTTATTGTCTTGTCGATACTCAACGTTGATTTGTTGATTCTAGAAGTAAGAGCCAATCACGTTCGATTGCTATTGAGCGGCCTTACCAATTGCCGGTACTGAAAATGTATAGTTTATGTCACATACACTATAGATTTTCAATACTGGCAGTGAATATTTTGGAACGCATTTCAAATATCTTTTGTTAAAAGTTAAAATTTTACTGCAGAGATTATTTTTATAAAATTAAATAGAAGATAAAGTTTTGTTGTCTCAAATGTAGCCACAAACAGCTTGTTTTTAAATTTTTATATATTAGTTGAGAATAATTCTGTGTATATATATAAAGAATTAATAACTAAATAATACATTAATAAAGATAAATATATTATGTGCACAAAATTTATCTCTTTTTTTGCCCCTTCTTAATTAGTTTTATTATTGTTAAAATAATATTTTAATATTTTGCATTTATACTTACTACTCTTATGTTTATCACTATCAATCATGTATTGGTTATAATGGAAAAAGCCCATGTTATATATATTAATTACAGCATATATAATATTAGAAACTATTATTTCATTTATATGTGCACGTCTTATCCTTAGTGGAAAAATTTTATAAATAACTAAATGACAAAAAAGTGTACATTCTTTATATTTGTCACAAATAATAGCTTTGGTATATTTTATTTTTGGAAATATATACATTTGTGGTATCACACACACTTGTATATTTTATATTATATATTATATAGCTTATTTTACAAATTGTATTATATATTATTATATTATAAATATCTATATAATTAAAAGATATAATTAACATCATTTTGTATTTGTAATAAATATTACTTCAATTTGATTTAGAAGACAAGATCTGTAGTAACGAATCATTTGCTTTAATATATCTTAGAAAATATAAAGATAATGAAACTGTTAAAAACATACTTTACATTTGCAAATTATATGATTAAAAATAATTGTATTCTATCCTACTGTATATAACAAATAACAATGCAGAAATATTAAATGCATTTGTTGCATTTATAACATTGCAGTACATAACGAAAAATTAAGGTATCCTATACTCATCACAATTGTTAAGGAATATATGCATACAAGAATACATCGTTTATGCAACATGCAAACTTTTGTATACATTGTCGATTGTGATATAAAAATTATCTTATTCAACTTATAAAATTCTTTAAAAACTCAGTAATAAATATCGCTATGTATTATCGGTAGGTTCTGGTGAGAAACTCGATGTATCGATAAGAAGTTCCTCGTTTATATTGTGCTGCTTCTCTTCTGGTTCGTACTCTTCAATATCTTCGCTCGAATCCGTCAGTGTTTGCGGCCCGGTGGATTTATACTGAAACGCGGAATGCGATAGATCGACCTCGACCGGGAATAACGTTACTACCGACAGTAAGTCTCGCGCGCTAGCGTAATACTTGGCCAGACCAGCCGCGAACTTGTGCAATTGCCACACGACGTCCTGTACATGCTTATTGTCTAGCAATTCGAGTTTTACTAACACGTCCGAACGCAGCTTCGCGAACTTCGCACGGGCTTCTTGCCGACACCGCAGCACCAACCGATACTCGTAGTTACCCGTTTCTACGCGATATAGGGGTTCTTGCAGAGCGGCACAACTCTGCTCCTCGTCGTCTAGTTCCTTTACCTTCAAACAATAGGACAGATATTCAAATTTCGCATCGGCATATTTGCTGATGGTCAATCGTGTGTCTGGTATGGCCTTGTTGAGGTACGTTCCCAGATCGCTCAGTATCGGTTTCAAGGTCTTCAACATAGTCACACCAAACTTCTCCATTTGCCTGTGCTGCTCGCCAAATTGTCTAAAAGCTTCGCTGGCGCGTGGTTGCGGTTCTCGCACTCCTATAGCAGCGAACGCGTCTCCGAATACTGTAAGGATACAACAGGAGTTTAACATGTAAATTTTACATGTGCGATTTTCAATATTTAAATAGAAAATACCTTTATAGATCTGTGTCAGATCGAAGAAAGCGTGTAACGTAGCTTTAGCGTGCGTAACTAGACCTCTATAGAAAGTTTCTGTACGTTTCAACGCCATCAATCTTTGGACGAGAGCATCGTTGCAAAGAATGGCTCGTGACAATCCAAGCGCGTCGGCCGTAGTACTTCCCATACCTTCGACCAGTCTGTGTTTCACCTATAAAATCAAAAACTTAGTTATGCTATTTCAACAAAATAAAAATTATGACTGGCATCATATCGTCAGCGTATACTTGCTTTTTTGAGAGCGATGTCGAGCGTGCGACCTTGTTTTGGATCAGCGTGTAATTTATTGTAATTGATGCTGACCTGCGAATCGCAGGATTGTATCATTTTTGCGACTTCCACTTTAGTTTTGCCCCTCACTGACGCCCCGTTCACTGCCACAAGCTCGTCGCCTGCTTGAAGAGTACCGTCTAAAGCGACGGGTGTATTGTCAAAGATTTGTACAATGTACAAACACGGACAAAGCGGCGCACCACCGCCGATGCTTATGCCAATAAGATTACTGGCGTCCTTCTGTATCATGACATTTCCAGATGTAATTGTCATACCCCTGATATTTACAAAAAAATACAAGTATGTAATATAATAAATTTTTCAATAAATATAAATACATATTACACATAGCTGAATTTCTCAAACAAATCACAAAATGCAAATATGCAGCTAAATTTTAAAAGCTTGCAAAATGTATAATAAAGAAAAAGATTATCTAGATATAAACATTCAAATAAATATATGGCGTAACAAATAAAAATCTATACATGTAGCATATATAACATAAAGTTCCTTCTTTTCTTTTCTTACATATTACAAGAATAATGTTCATGCGCACAAAAATTACTTGACATATATTGTCTAAATTAAATCTCAAATAAAAGTAACTTCTCCTTACATACATATGCACATAATAACATACACATAATCACAATATTACAATATATATACGTATATAATGAACTAAAATTAAATATAGTCAAAGTTGTATTAAGAAATAAAGCATAGTAAGAAAAAGTTTCCATAATCTACTCATGTCAAGAATCTTATGTTTGTATCTTTTTAATTGTTTTTGAAATAAAATATCTCAATAAAAACAAAAAGAAAAGTAAAATTACTAAGAACAGCTAAACAATTATGTTTATGTAAAAACAATATTTATATCATAAATATAAAACTTATATTTTTTATCCAAGAAAAATTAAAAACATTAGTACTATTTAACATTTGAAATTCTATAAATGCTAATGTTATATAATCTTAAATCTTGAGAAAAATGTTTTTAAGTTAGAAAAACTAATTACCCTTATTCATACTCTAATAAGTCTAATATATTTTATTAGTATTTTTTGCTATAAAATATTTTCAACATTATATAAATTATAATTCAATGATGTAAATATCTTTGATAACAAAAATGCTTAAAAAAAAACTTACATCTGGTTGACAGGCTTCTGCTGTATACATTGATCTTGTGCGACCAGTTCTATGTCTGGTCTAAATCCCAATATGATAAACGACAATACAGAAGGAAAAAATTGAAATTTTGTACAAAAAGAGGTACGCGTAAAGCCGAAAGAAGAAGTAAAATATCAATGTAATTGTGACATAAGAATAGTGCGTACATGCGATCTTCCATCATAGCTAGTTGAGGCAATACGATGCTAGCCGATGGTACGGTGGGAAGAGCAATAGAAACTTTATCCAAAGCTGATGCACTCGAATTTTGAAGTCTGCTACTATTCGTGGACAAGGTCGAATCGTTTATCAAACTGTGATTCCACCGCACCGTGACATTCAGGCATGCATGTTATGACCAGGAAAAAAAGCACATTAAAACTGTGATGCAGCGTGACAAATTACAGCTAACAAAGTAAAAATTAATTTCCGCAATCTTCCATAACCAACATTTTATCCTCCTCGAAGAAGAAATCATCTTCGAAGTCCATGCCCAGGCCCGTCATATCTGCAGTCTGTAATATTAGCACTCGTTATTTATATTCAAGCTTCGTTCCTCTTGCAACTTTTATTTGATTTGTGATTGTTTAGCGTAAGTTTAGAATCAAACATAATTTGACACACTGTTAATTTTAGAAAAATTGATATATTAGATAGAGCATAAAAAAAGTTAATGTCTTTACATTCAGAGAGAAAAATCAAAAAGATAGTGTAGTACAAATTTTAAGACATAATAAAACGTAATATATATGTATATATATATATTATAACGTGAACAAACACACCGTATCTGTCAATTTCTGACATCCGTCTACATGCCTACATCTACATGGCTATATTGATAATGGTATAAACTATGCCGTAATGAAGAAAGCATACCATATTTTAACCAGTAACTACCAGTAAAGGTCGTATTACACTATGGATTGCGAGCTCGATTGCGGTTGGAGTTAAGATTAACGGTTGCGAAATGACCAATCAGAGCAAAGCAGCTTGCCGATTGATTGGTCAATCCGCAACTGTCAATCGCAACCGAGCCCGCAACCCGTAGTGTAATACGGTCTTTAGGATCTTTAAGAATTCCGTGCCCCTTGGCGATGCCGCGGTGCTGCGTTGCGTTCGCGTTCCACGTTGACGAATTGACGACTACCCTGTTGACCCTCCACGTAGCCACGCGGCGTGATGCTAGTATGGTAGCTGTCGCATTATGCCGAGACAACGTCGCATTGTAGGACGAACGGCATCGTAGTGAGTGGATGTGAGATCGAATTAATCGGTATTTTTAACAGAAAGAGCATCTGCCGAGCGGTGAATTAAAATGAAAGGATTTAGGATTTTTCTATTTTTCGCCGTTTCGGCGATTGTACTCACAATCAACGGAGGTAATACACGATTTACGACTTATTTGCGCGTTTTATGGTTATACGCACAGAGCTTAATTAACGCTCGATAAGCAAGCATTAAATTCTTTTCTCGCGTATGTGACGGTTTAATCAATAAAATAGTTTTGAATGATTAAACGGAATTTTTTGGTATTTTGAAAACTCCAGCTGTTATTATGCCGACTCTTGCCAAGTGCACAATTAAATGAAATTCTGTAAAATTCTATAAAATTCTGTATACTTTTATGAATAGAAAGATATTTTTGTAATGAACTCTAGAAAATTCAGATATTTTCTGTTATGGGTTATGGTTTATATATATTTCTTTATCAATATATAAATATGTATGTATATTTTTATTTGTGTAATATACTAATATACGAATTAAGCATCTGTTTAAATATCAGAAATATATCTTGTACAAGTCTAAAAGTTACTAACTGCAAAAATTACAATATATGAGAATGTAATTACTATGATTGTTGCTCTGTGCTCAATGTTTAAATATTATTCAAAAATTCTGTCAAATCCCGTATTAAAAAGTTTTAACACATTTTTATATTTAATTTTATATTTATAGGGTATGGTGTCTATGCTGAAGAAGATGAGAATATTGATGACATTGTTGATGTAGAAGGTGAAGAAGGCAGTATAATAACAGATGAAGAAACAGTAGAAGATACCAGTAATGCCTCAGCTGACGCTGATACAACAATACTTTTTACAAAACATGTTTACAACATGCTATCTACTCTTGGTATTTTAATTATATTCTTTGCTACTGAGATTACAATATATGATATTTTATGATACTAAAATAGATTTTTTGTGAATTTCATAGAATTGCCAGCTGGGAATATAGTAGAATTTCTTGTGGGTTTTATTAATAAGGGTGAAAGTGATTTTGTTTTGGAATCGCTGGATGCCTCTTTTCGTTATGCAATGGACTTCAATTTTTATATTCAAAATTTCTCGACGTTCACATTTAACAAGGTTGTGAAACCTAAGCACGAAGCTACTTTAGCTTACTCCTTCATACCATCTGAAAGTTTCGCTGGAAGACCATTTGGACTGAATGTTAATTTGAATTATAGAGATACAGTATGTATGAATTTATTACGTGTAAGATGTTATATATACAAGACATAAAAAAATACAGGAAAGGCATGTAATACTAAATTTTGTAGACATAAAAGTATATAATTTTTTGTTATATACAATACTGCAAGAAGATCATTATATTATTAAAGTTAAGAATCGCTTCTGATTAATAGGATTAATATTTTAATCTGTATTAATTGATCATTCTGCACTCAATTTATCAAGTACTACATGTACTTTAAGCCACAAAATCTTATTTTTTTAGTATAAATTGTAAATATATTATTTGCAGATATTAACATATTATGCTTTTGCAGAATGGGATTTCGTACAATGAAGCAGTCTTTAATGAAACTGTACAAATCATAGAGATAGATGATGGTCTCGATGGAGAAACTATATTCCTTTATATATTCCTCGCTGCATGCATTATACTAGCCCTTGTAGGAGGTCAGCAGTTGTTATCATCTTTGGGACGCAAGTCACGCTCTTCTACTACTCGTAAAACAGCAGTAGAAATGGGCACATCTAATCCAAATAATGTAGATTACGATTGGCTGCCAAAGGAGGTTCTCAACAGAATCAGTAAGTGATGAATTAATAGCAAGCTGTTAAGCATTTATTCATATCAATTCGAATTAAAATCAGAATTAAGTAGCTTTTCAATAAAATTATTATTTCTATGTAAGTTTTTATTTATGGCATAAAGATAATTTTTCGGAAATATATAAGAAATCTTAAAACTTTACACTTAGCAGTAACTTAATGGTTTTAAGTAATATTTTGAAATTTAGTTGAATTTTAAATAAATATAATACAAATAATATAAAGACAATAATACAAATTCATTTAACATCATTTTTTGTCTTTCCATGTTATCAAATATCAAAAATTATCAAATTGTACTATTATATGAATCCTCAATTAATTTCCTCGATAAATTTCTTGATTAGTTACTATACCAGGTTAATTGCAATATAAGAAGTTATTGTATACAGAATTTATGGAAACACGAAGATCTAAATTAATCATGGTTTTTTTTTTCATTTTTTTTCTTCCAGATAAATCTCCTAGAACTCCAAAGCAAAGTCCAAGGCAAAGAAAAGCAAAGAGAACAGCTGGTTCTGATGACTGAATGTTATATATTAATATTTATATATATATATATACATTATTTAAAATTGATACAGAAGAATCTGCATTGTGCAAGATAATTGCAATAATTTTTTAAAAAGAATTTAAGATTCCAAAATTCCAAAATTCTAGTGAAACAAATTGTATGAATAAGAAATATTTAGTTCCAATAATTAATATACAAAATGTATACATACTTATGCAGTTTTTCAATGACAAATATGTTTAATTGGACAATATTATGGAAGAAACCATTTGGCTGTATTCTATAATATTGTAAAACATTTACTTTGTAATATATATATATACATATATATAGGTACATATATGTTTAATATTTCTATAGAGACAATAGTATGTAATGATACTCAATAATTTGTTTTTGCACAAAATCCACATATAGAGAGTTATATTGTACTTAGCAAGGTTTACATTTTCTCTGAGATTGATTAATTGCCCATTTTTTCATGATTTCCACAAATGCGTGCGTGTGATAAAAATAAAGTTGTAATCATTCTGTAATTATTATAATAGTGTGCAAACATTTAATAAAAAAGATCAATTTTGTACAAAGATAAGTTTTGTAAATTTATCTAAAGAACTTAACGCGTTCTTTCATTGTACATACATCTTATGTTAAAATTTGCTCATATTTATTGAACTATTGTATTTTATATTTAAAATGCAATACATGTATATATGTGTATACCCCAGTGATTTCTATTATCTAGATAGAAAAGCTTTATAATCTCATCTTAGACGTAGACAAATTTTTAAAATAAGATAATCTTCATTTTATCTTTATCTTTATCTCGAAATCATCTAAAGAGAACATTCTGGTATACTGTAATACTTTGTGATCTTTATCTGTAATGTTTTTCACGATATAACCTATACGCACGTATGCCGTACGTACACGTAACCTAAGAAATCTGTCGTGGAACATCATATACTCCGGACGGTGTGATTATACGTCATTACTTCACTGACAGTGATTTCAACTATCGTACGTTGTACCTTAACTTAAGGGTGACGTTAAAGGACACGTTAAAATGTCAGACGTGAGAGACTGGTATAAAGCCCTGCCAATATTTACGAAATACTGGTTAACTTGTACCCTAGCCCTGACGTTACTCGGCAGATTTGGATTTCTGAATCCGCATTTGCTGATATTGTGGCCCGATCGATTTCTGAATAATTTCGAAATCTGGCGAGCGGTGACCAGCGTCTTCTACTATCCGCTCAACCCGGCCTCGGGCTTTCATTTCTTGATCAACTGCTACTTCTTGTACAATTATTCGTTGAGGTTAGAGCGCGGGGAATACGATGGTAAACCCGCGGATTATTGCTTTCTTCTGTTGTTCAATTGGATATGCTGCGTCATCATCGGACTTATCGGTGATTTTACCTTGCTCATGGATCCTCTGGTGCTCAGCGTGTTGTATGTCTGGTGTCAGTTGAATAAGGATGCTATTGTAAACTTCTGGTTTGGTACGTTTGCCCTCTTTTATACTGTTATTTATTTCTAAATTGTGCACAATACAATATTGATACAATTTTGTAAGAATTCAACATATAGAACATATCACATTGGCTTACATAAATGAATCTGTTGACAGGTACACAATTCAAAGCCATGTATCTGCCATGGGTCTTGTTTGGATTTAACTTGATTATTTCTGGTGGTGGAATGATGGAGCTATTTGGCATTCTAGTTGGACATCTGTATGTCTTCTTGAAATTTAAGTATCCTCAGGAACTCGGTGGTCCAGAATTACTCAACACTCCAAAGATACTTGAAAGTTACTTTCCCCCTCAAAGAAGCGGGGTTCGATCGTTTGGAAGTGCACCGATATACAGGCCAGCTGGAGAACAAATTGCTCAAGGAAGAAATATATTTGGGGGACATAACTGGGGAAGAGGTCATGTATTGGGCCAATAATTACGAAATTTTTCTTGTAAAGTTATTAAATACACAAGAAATTTCCTATTTTAATATACATTCATTTTGTGATTTACGGTTAATATGCAAGAGCAATACTGGTTTCTTGATGTCTGTGTTACTGATTCTTCCAAATATCTCTTTTTGTAAACTATTACATAACTTCAATAATTAAAATATAAAACATATGCATTTTGAAGTAATTTAATAAATAATATATGTGCATATTATTATCTATATAAATATAAAAAATATAGAAAGATTTAAAGTTTTATTATAAAGTGTGTAAAAATATTCACAGCTTTATATATACTTATATGTGAATACATTAACAGATGAATAGGACAAAGTACAAGACCAGAAATAATTATAAATTGCTTAACTTCTTCACAGCATATTATTATATTTTGTTCAGTAAATAACCGATCATCAATCACACTTGATAATGAATGTTCATCAGAGTTAAATCTGTATATATTATTTTCTGTATATTTTCATATTTAGTAATAAATGGAAAAATGTGGAAAAAGAAATATATATCTACATATAAATTTCATAAGCATCTTAAGCAAATGTAGAAAATTTGTATGTATATTGATCTTATTGTAGAAATTAATTCTGAAAATGAAAGAAACAATAACTAATAAAAATAAATCATGATCTTTTTTATATAATATCTTGTTTGCTATAAATTTATAGAGATATATTTATAAATTTATATTCTTGGAGGAACAAGTCATACATTTTTAATTTAACAATTGTGTATGTTAACATATTGGGTATAAAATAAATAAATAGGGTATATATATTTAATACATATATAGATAATTGATATAACTAAAAAGAAAATGACACATTAAAATTTTTTTTTTATATTTTATTTTCGCACCTTACAAAAGTCTGTAAAAAAAGAAAGACATTTTACAATAAAAAAACATTTCTATTGTCAAAGAGATTATTATGATTTTTTTATTGAGGTTATCTCCTCAGTGGCTAAAATGCTTACTAGCAAATAACGACATCAATTGATGAAATTAATGCTAGAAAGTTGGATGGGATGCCAACCCCTACCAAGAGTCCAAAATTAACTCTTTTCATTATGATTTTATCACAAATTAAAAAATCAAAAACTTTAATTCTGTATTAGCATATGTTACATTACATAATTCATGATTAATTATGGTAAATCGTTTAAACAATACTTTTTTACCATATAAAAAATGAAAAGAGTGAATTAAGGACCCTATACCTACCAAAAATTATTCCTCAGAAACTTCCAGTTCTCCGGCGTTAATATCGTCTATGAGATCATGGGGTGGCCTGCCTTCCACGGTGCATCCGACCGACTGACATGTGCCCAAGATCTCTTTGACAGTACCACTAAGTGTTCGTGACATCGACCTTGATCTCATAGAACGAGCAATGGAAACTATATCATCGAACGATAAATTGCCACTGTGTTTAATATTCTTCTGTCTTTTGCGGTCTCTGGGTGGCTCTTTCAGTGCTTTAATTATTAGAGAAGCCGCGGATGGTACAACCGAGATTGTAGCTTGTCTATTTTGAATAGTCAACTGAACTGTGATTTTCAGGCCTTTCCAATCACTGGTAGCCTTAGCGATGTCGTCACCAACTTTTTTGGGAGACTGAAATGTGAAAATAGTTTATTAGATATGAAATAAATTCCTGCATGAGGAAACTATACAAACTAAATTTTTTCTAAACTTACCAAACCAAGAGGACCAATTTTTGGAGCAAGAGACGAAGTGGCTCCTACTTCACCACCAACACATCGCAAATACACTGTACAAAAGACAAAATCGATTTAGTTAACAGTTAGCATTTTTATATAGGTTATAAAGGTTATAAATGTTTTAACTATGTGTATGCGCAAAAAATATTTAAAAATATACCTTTCTTGATTTCATTTGGATCAAATTTAGGAGGCATGGTTACAGTTTTTGTTGAGGATTTTTACGAAAAATCACGGATGAAATTCGATTATAACAAACTGCAAATCTATGGCACGCCTCCACGCGATAAGCTTCACACGAGAAAGGATGAATGGGCAGGAACCAACAAGAAAGAAGAAACGAAAGCGATATAGCAAGACAGACGGACAAATGTAGCGCATGCGCGGAAACGCGGGCAATTGCCACATCACATTTAACCATAGAGCTTAGTGCCGGTCTACAATAGTGATTTAAGCTCTAAGCCTTAAGAAATTGACTAATCACAGTCGAGTATTCTCCTCATACTTGATCGCGTAAGCTCTTACTACTTAAGCTCGTACTAGACTACACATTGAATTTTATATTTGTGTTTATATTATATATATGTATATGATAATGGTAATCATGAGAAAAGGATGACAGAAAATAAACTGTTCAGATACACATTGCAAAATATACAAAACTATATATTTTAAAAATATTATATAAAATATTTCTTCTTTTAAATTTAGTTCACAATTCTTTAAAGATACTTATTGGCTTATTTGTTTACGATTCATATTCCTCTTAATAACACATTTACATTTATACATATCTATCTTTTATAATGTCTATTAATTAAAATAAATTATCGACATAATTTATATATTACACATATATTCCTTCAATAAAATCAAAGTTATTATAAAACTAGGCTAATATTAAATATCATTTTAAACATGAAATTTATATGAATATTGGACGAGAACCAATTTGTTCATTCAGCATTTTAGCACCATATTATTTAGGATTGGTTAAGACATACTGGTAATTCTTGAGATGATACTTCTTCACATTCGTAGTATTGTGCTGTTGCATCTAATTTTATTGAATTCTCTTTTTTAATCTCTGCAGGATTAGATTTGGATGTTGAAGCAAGAGATGTAGGCTCTGTATATTTGTTCACCTCTTTACAAATATCCATAACACTAAATTTTATTAAATCTGATTTGATACTTGCAATTAAATCATCTTCTACAGACTTTTGATAATTTAAAGAATTATCAGCATCTGCATTGTCTGCATTCAATATATTTTCATTGACAGCTTTATTTGCATCATCACCAGAATACATTCTATTAATTTCTGAAATTAGTTCTGATGTTGGTTCTACTATCATAGATTCAGCAGATGTATCCATTTGATTCTTCCCTAATAATTTATTTATAGCTGCATCACTTATATCAATAGAAGCAGCTGGACCATAATCTGGCCTCTTTGGTCTTTCCTCTGTATAATTAAAAAGCAATAAGAATTTAGAATAAATATACAAAACAACTACTATTTCATAATTTTGATACAACTTGGTAGTATTATATAATTTAGTAAAAAAAATTATATAATAATAATAATTAAAATTATTGCTCGATATTATAAAAAACTAAAACTTGAAAAAAGAGAGTAATGCTTTTTAAAATTACAAAATCTGTTATATTAATATGCACAAAACTATAATACAATATCAATATATTTTTAGCATTTTAATCAAATAACAATTTATTTAAAATAATTCATTAGAGGAACTATTTTCACAAAGTATTATAACATCCATTTATTTGGTCGGTATAATAATATAAAACTTACGTTTTAATATATCGCATGCCACATAATCAGCTGCTCTAAATAATTCCGCTTTTGTAAGAAGTTCCAGTAATAATCTTAATGTTGGTCTCTTTCTTCCCATAGTACTCCATTCATTTAAAAATACTTCAGCTGCATTGCGCTTGTCTCCGTATGCTGTTTGTTCAATTATACTATATAACAAAAAAGTATGAGTTATATTATATTGTAAAAGAATGTAATATATTCGTCCTTTTTAATAATGTAACGATATCTTACAATGAAAATTAATGTAAAAAATATTTTCTTGCTTGCCTGATATGATCACTAGTGAATTTGGGTACATTTCCTTGCTTAGGCACGATAGCCATTAGTTTCTTCCATGAATCAGAAATACTTAATATATTGCTTAAAATGTACAACTCGCCGGGTTTTAACTTTCGTATTTCCATATCCAAACACACCTCAGAAGACATTTTTAACACGAATGTCAGGTCAGGTAATGATAGGTGATCGAACTTCTCTTGAAGATCGTGCGATGAAGGTGCAAAACTTCGGATACAAAGTTGCCATTCTAGCTAAAAAAAAAAAAAAAACAAAAAAAAAAAACAAATTCAATAAAATCACGCATTGGTTATCGCGCTATCGAATAGGGAATTTCTGAAATTCTGAAAGTTTTTCTATTCGATAGCCAATCGCGTGACATTGTGTCTAAAGTGCCAAATAAGAAAAAACCTAAGTGTATAAAGTGCAAGCAAAACGAACAGACCTTAACTTAAGACCTAAGTTCGCGCGGAAAGAGAGGTTACGATTTTATTATATATCGAATTGTGTTTTTTCGAATAACATTTAACTTTTAATTCCTATTGTTGATGTTGAACATCTATATGAAATATCTATATTGGACATTGGATTTTCTATAAACGAGCAGGTAAAAATTATATTTCATCTTCTTTCCATTAATATCTTTTTTTTCAACAATTGCATCTAAACTTAATTAAACATAATCTTTAAAGAGCTATTTACCTTTTTACCTTATTGCGATTTCTACGCTTGTTTATTAAATATATAATTACAATAATAAAAAGATGCCAGATGCATGATGATGTTGCAGCCAAGCTTAGATCTGCTCTTTTTTAGCTGTATCTTTTTATATATCTTGTGAGTTCAAAGTGAAATTTTTTTATAGGAAAATTTGAAGGCAAAAAAAGAAAAAAAGATTATAGAAAGTGCAGCTAAAGAGAGAAGATTTTTTTGTCAATATACAGGATCAGAAAATATTTTAGAAAAATCTGAGTAATTAAAATATACTATTAAATATATATATTTTCTAAATGTGTTTAGTTATTAATGTGAATAAATTAATAAATTGTAATATATAAAAAATATATATTTTGTTTATCTTATTATTTGCAAATGATTCGAATTTAATTAACATAATATTAAGCTTACAGCTATGACTTAAGCCAGTTCATGAATAAAATTACAGCAATGTACACAGTTAATATTTTTAACTTTCTTTTTTATAAATTTGCATGTTTAGAAAATGATATTGTTACTATTGTATTTCTTATTGTTTATCAAATAATGTAAGTTATGTAGTAAAATAGTTATTATTGCCAATCGTTTCTCTTGTGCAGTGCATGATCCTGTATATGGCAGTTGGCAGATTCATCAGTGCAGTACAGCATTCTAGTTACTTGAAATATCAGTACTGCTTTTATACAACTACTATGACTTCCTTGCTGGTTCCTCCACTATCGGTACGTGGTATGACATGCTTGGATCGTGATGCATTTACAACAATTGTAAATGTACCAACATTAAAATTATGTAACACTGCTGTCTCAAGAATTATGCACATCTTGAAGAAATATTTGCTAAAGATGTGTAATTTTAAACCAATTCAAAAGACAAGCGAAGGAATTATCGTTTATTTAAATCCAAACATTATTACAAAATTTGAAGATATTACTGAGAATGATAGAAAATTACTGGTGGATCAATATGAACATTTTGATTTTATGAGCATTACTATAAAATATGATAATTGGCGTCGTGATGAGACATTAAAATCAATTCTACCAGAAGATATTCAAGTTCCAACAGCGTATACTTTAGTGGGACATATTGTGCAGTTGAATTTACGCGATGTACATTTGCCATACAAAACAATTATTGGTCAAATATTTCTTGACAAGACTCCAAATGTGCGAACAGTAGTAAATAAAATGAATACAATTGATACAACGTTTCGATATTTTGCTATGGAAATCCTGGCTGGTGAAAGAAACACAATAACAACCACAAAAGAACATGGCTGTACATATCAGTTTGATTTCGCACAAGTTTATTGGAATTCGCGTTTGTCTACTGAACATTCAAGAATGACATCATTTATGACGCAAGGTGATGTTCTGTATGACGTATTTGCAGGAGTAGGACCCTTCGCTATTCCTGCCGCGCATAAAAAAATCCAAGTATTTGCTAATGACTTGAATCCTGAGTCTTACAAGTGGCTTCAGAAAAATGCCACTATTAACAAATTAAAAAATAATTTTAAAGCTTTTAACATGGATGGCAGAGATTTTTTAAGAAACATTGTTAAAGATGATATTTTGTCCAGACGTGCTCAAGATTTATCTGGTTCCGAACATATAATAATGAATTTACCCGCATCAGCCATTGAATTCTTGGACATATTGCCTGATTGGTTTACGCAAAAAGAATTTCAAAAAGTTTGTCTTAAACCACTTACATTCCACCTATATTGTTTTGTAAAAGCGAACAAAACAGACAATGTTTGCAGGCTTGGAAGGTTATTAGTTGAGCAAAAGCTTGGTTATACACTTTCTACTGATGCTATTGTTGATATACAGGATATTAGGGATGTTTCACCGAATAAAGAAATGGTTCGAGTATCATTTTTGTTGAAAGAAAATATGCTTAAAGACAAGGAGCCAGCAATGAAGAAACTTAAAATAGAGACTAATAATATATAACAGTTTACTTGTAATTAACGATGTAACACTGATGTTACAGAAAACAATGGGAAAGAATAAAGAAACGCATAAAAACAAAAATGTTTTCCAAGTGGCAACAGCTCGCAGTATCAAGCTGAAAGCTAAAGCACAGAAGATTATTAATCCGAAGAAAGTAAGTGTGTAATAGATAATTACAAATTAAAATAAATAAAAAATTGATATAGATGTAAATTATATATATATATGTACATACATGTATATATATACATATTATACAAATAAAATGAAATAATTATTATGAGATTGCAATCTACATACGATTTCTTGGAAATATGTGAAAACAAGTCAAAGCAAATCACGAATCGCCAATTCAACTTATTTAAAGTGCAGTAGTGAAATAAAAATCAATATTTTGCTTATTATTTTATTAAATTACAAAAGTTTTATAAGTCAAATGCATGCAAGACTTCTGAATATGTAGAATATAATAAAATGTTACTGAAAAATGCTTTACAAAAGACAATTATTTCTTTGCTTTGAAATCAGATTGATCCAAAAGGAAATAAGATATCAAACAAGGATAAAACAGCCAACATGGATCGACTATTGCAAGAATTGCGTAAGGACGTGCAAGAGCGTAATTTTAAAGCAAAACTTGATACTATTGAAAAGAAAACAATTAAAAAAAATACAAAACCTCTGGTATCTAAGGTGACATCAGCACAAACGAATGCAACAGCTTCAAAGATGGAACAGATGCAACTTTGACAAAAAATGAAAAAATAGACGAATTTAAATAATTGTGTATTTCAATCATCTATTTTCAATATGTATATTAAAAAAATATTATATAACATAAAATGATATAATACTTTATTAATATTATCCTACTACCTTACTTTGTTATATAATTTTTATAACAATAAATATTATCAAAAAATATATTATATTATTTATTATTCGACTTTCCCCCGTCTCCTGTACCATCTTTTATTTCACTGTTGCACTAATATCTAATGATTTATTTTGCGGGTGTTTTGTTAAAATTGCATAATATATTAGATAAAATACAGATAAAGTAAAAATCATAAATCATAATTATATATGTCATGCATAGTAAAGAGACAATGTGTGTAGATTGCATATTATCTATTAATAGCACAAAAAGGAGAAACGACATGAGTCATTCTTGGCTTTATTATTTTTTTTTATCTCAGTAAAGGGCAGAATTTAGAAGGATATGTCGCAACAGATATGTTATCCATGTACAGCGTGTTTGATAACTGTGGGAGATGAAATTTTACGCGGGCATATAGTTGATACCAACACGTCATACTTGGCAAAAAATTTAACCGCTGCTGGAGTAAGACTGCAGAAAGTCACAGTGGTTCCTGATGTTGTGCGTATTATTTCATTATCATTGCTTTGTGTAAATATACTGTAAAGATTATTAACAAGTATAGTGGATATTATATACAAGAATATTTATTTTTACTCTTTATTAATGCTAAGAAATAAAAAAACATATATTTTTTTGTTTAGTTATCATATAATTTGACAAATATAACACCTTTAATTTTTAGATCACACATTCAATGATAATGATATTAATATCCAATGATGTTTCTAGGTGGATGACATTGCTAAAGAAATAAACACTGCCTCAAAACAATATTCTGCTGTATTCACATCCGGTGGTGTTGGGCCTACTCATGATGATGTAACTTATGAAGCTGTAGCAAAGGCTTTTGAATTAAAACTCGAATTTCATCAGGAGTTGTTTGATATATATAATCAATTGATACCTGGCCAGCATGAAGTAAAACGACTTGCTATTGTTCCCAGTTCTTGTGAAATTATCAATATTGAGTCTAAAAGTATGTAGTTTTATTTAAAATCTATTTTTATTATATTTATATTTTGTGTATATATATATAAGATTTTATTTCATCTAAATTTTTATATAAGTAAAATTAAAATTTGCACATAAAAATGTATAAAAGAAATTAATTAACGTTTTATCATTCAAATATTATACGATATTAATACAAGTGATA